GCCTTTGGGGGACTGTAAGGAAAATAGAAAAGGAAAAAAAAAAAAAGTATCTAGAAATAAATCAGGTGAGAGTAATTAATATATTCAATGAATATATCAAATTTCATGCATTAATTGGTGGTGGTAAATAAATAAATAGGTGGAGAGTAAGTTAGGTGAAACAAGTGAGGTCTCAATCTCACAAGTCGAGTCAAAATAATATAGACACTGTGTTTGTATTTTAGCGTCGTGTTTTCGTGTTATCTGTATTATTTTATCATAAATAATATGATAATAAATTCAAGTTTAACAAACTTTTTCTATTTCGTCGTATTTTGTTGTGTCGTGTTTTGAGTCGTGCGGTAAATAAATATTTCGACTCTCGAGTGTTATCTTATAGTAATTACATGTGTATTCAATGGTTTAAATACTCGACGGGATGATACCGTAACGGGATCGTAATATTTCTCTTTATTTATATCATTAGCATATCTATCTTACTATATAATAAAAAACATTATGAACAAGCAGAATTTGGTTAGAGTTTAAAAGAGATGATGTGAAGTGATTGTTAATCAAAATTACGTGAGTAAGTGAATAATAAATTAAAATTGATGGTGTGTATGAGATTCACTGTTTGTTTTATTTAATTATATTAATAATACTGAAAATAATATAATTGAATTAAAACTGTGTTGGATTTTAAATATAAATGAAGTATGAATTGGATAAATTTATAAACAAATACACCACTCACACATTCAATTTATTGGGTTGTTAAGAATAATTGTGGACCAACTTTTAGAACGAATTATGTATTGGTCCATTAATTTATCAATATCTGTACACTGTACTTAATTTGTAATTCTAATATTTTGGACAACCAGTCTCTTTTTATTTTATTTTATTTATTTATTTATTTGCCAAATTGGTCAGCCACAATTAAATCCATCAATAATTTCCCAACTACCACAATGTTCAATTTTAAGTTTTTTCTAGCGGTAATAAATGATTGAAATCATTTTTTTTTTTAAAAAAAAAAACAATAATTGTGAATTCTCTATAAGCAATTGCATTCAATAGCAAGAATTGGGTGGGTATAATATATAGTATATGAGCTAATTATTTACTTCGACAAGTTATCGATTACAAGTTTAACGTACCAGCAAACTAGAAAATCGAGAATGCTTAGATAGGTTTCGGCTTATCTCCTCTCTGAATAGTTCGAGGTCGATCGTTGTCCTAAAACCCATGACGGCTAGTATGCAAAGATTGAAGCCGGGTGCTTGCATCAAACGAGCACCAGGGCTTGCCGGCTTTTTTTCTTCTTGCGAAGTTCTCATCTCACATATGGAGTTTTTAATAGTCACTAGAGATATATTATTAATTGAAAGTATATATAGCATATTTTTCTTGTCAATGTTTATATAGAGCTTGGAGATATAGTGAACAATGTGATAATGCTAATCATGTGCTATAACATAGGACTAGTAATTAATTAATATGTTAATAGTGTTTTTCAGTGAAGTTGATGATATCCTTTTAAATAGAACAAGGTAGGGTTTGAGTTAGGTAAAAAGAAAAGATATTACGGAAAATTTCCTTTTAAATGCAATAATATTAGGGAAAACAAAAATAGGATTTCACAATTAAATTGAAAAAAAATAAATATACTCTAATCCTATAATTTTTAGATCCTAATTGGATTTCCACTTTTGGGAACTAATTTTCTGGTATGAAGTACTATTGAGGAAATTGCGAGTTTTGAGAATGAGCCAATATAAAACAATGCTTTTTTTAGTTTTTAACATATAACAATTTTTTTATGTACTATTAAAAAATGTGGCTTTATATACACTAAAGAAAATGATGAAATTCCAACGGAAATTTATTATAATAGAATGATTTCAACGGAAATTCCAACAGAAATATTCCGTTGGAATGAGTTTACCATTGGAATTTCCGTTGGATTTTGACGATTCCAACGGTGGATTTTCCAACAGGGGTGGAAATAAAAATTCCAACAGAAATTGCATATTCCAACGAAAATTCCTACGGTAAAAAGCCGTTGGAAATATAGCCGTTGGAATCACCAAATTCCATCTAAAATCCAATGAAAAATACATTACAACGGTATATTTCTGTTGGAACCATTTCAACGGAAGCTATACTATTGGAATATTTGGAATTTCTATTGGAATATATTATCATTGAATTTTCCGTTGGAATATAACAATTTTTTTGTAGTGATAATTACAAGGATGGATAATAAAAGCTTTACGCTTTCATGTTCATTTTCTCCTTTAATCATATTATAAATGGATCATGCTATTATTCATTAAGGGTAAATGAGTACATGTACCTCTTGGATGTAAACCAAGTGGTACACCAAGGGGTACAAGTAGCATTATTTAACAGGACTACAATTTTGCTTTTTATTAATTGAGTTTATAATGTGGTCCAACACAATTTTGCTTTTAAATTTTTATTGGATTGACGTGACAAGTACCAAATGAGCTGGATAATTAAGTTTGATACACACTTCCCCTGCGGGCAATTTAATTGGGCTCAACTCATTGCACCGTCTGTTATCCATTTTCGTTTGTTTTTTTTCTTGATTTCACCTTCAATAATTAATTTGGACTCATTTCCTAGACAAGAAAAATCTCTTACAGAGTTGATTGCAAACATGTTCGACTCTACTTATTTGATCGACAAATTTGATTACCTATTTGAGTTTGGCTATAAGTGAGTCGATTGACTTTTCACAAAACCGAAATATGTTTATTAACAGATAATTCAGTTTGTGTAAGAGATTGTGTTTGGCTATTACCGGATGGGTCAAAATCATGAACTTGTTCAAGACCCATGGTCAACGGGCGATTTCTGTAAATTTGGGTCGACCTGGCGGCCAGGGCCGACCCATAATCATGTCCACTCATAATTCTAGTAATAGCTACAATAATATGCATGCCCCATGTTAAAAATTTTTCTAGCTACGCATTCACTACATTTACCACAAATTTGTTGTTCAAGTAATATCATTCAATATCTCTTATAATAAGTTTGAGGAAGTAGCTTTCTCACCTAATTGTACAAACCACAATTAAAACCATCACTAAAGCCCAACAACCTCAAGTTACAGGGTTTTTTTTTTTTTTTTTTATGGCTATTCAATTGTGTATATCCTAATCACCTTATTTATTTTTCAATTTTCTTTGCAATTTAAAATCTTTGAACTAAACACAAATAGACTCGGGGAACATTAATTTTTCAATTCTTTGCATGATAGAAACGTTTGTGCTCGAGATTTTATTTAGTTACTATTTTAATCACCTAGCTTTTGACTTTTTTTTTTTTGGTACAGGGACCTTTCGGTTTTCGAATTTACAGGGGAACCGACTAATCCAAAATCGAGCCGAGTAGGACCACAAGGGCGGCAAAACTCTCCCTAACTTTTCACTTTTAAACAATGTTTAGACGGCCCAACGTACCTATTTATAGAAATTCTCCCATATTTATAATAATTAGGTCTAAAGAAAAGAAAATTGGTGGCTTGTTTGGTTTTCCAGCTTGTGGACACCTTGCGTGGAGAAAAAAAAAAATAAAATAAAATAAAAAAATTGTACAATATTCATCACTACAAAAAAACATCTTACATTCCAACGGAAAATTTCCGTTGGAATTCTTTATATATCCGTTGGAATAGGTATTCCAACGGATATTCCTACGTATAAAAATTCGTAGGAAAAACGGCCGTTGGAATAGCTAAAATCCAACGGAAAATCCTATGGAAATAAATTCCTACAGCTATTCCAACGGAAAAAATCCGTTGGAATTCATCAACCATCCAACACTTTTTCCAACATAAAATTAAGTTTGTTGGAATATTCATTGGAATTTCCAACGGAAATTTTTGCCGTTGGAATTTTTCGTTGGAATTGAAGTGTTTTCTTGTAGTGCATTGACATGATGGTGTGGCATAATGTGAGCAGTGTTCGAAAAGTCGCTAGGCGTCCGACCAACGCCTAGCGCCTAGAGTGCCTCGGCGGGGCCTAGACGGCGCCTAATCGGGGCCTAGAAATCAATATTAAAATCTTTACTTTTTATTTATTTTAACTACCTACAAAATAAAATTATCTCAACTTATAATAAATCGACACACCTTAGTTCAAATAATAAAAATAATACAATTAAAAAAAACATGGGAACAATATAATGTAATTAATATTAAAAAAAAACAAAAAAAAAACTGAAAAATTGTCGTCGAGCCTGCCTATGAGCGCCTAGGTTCGCCTAGGCGCCGCTTAACCGCCTGGCCGTCGAGCCCGCCAAGTCCGCCTAGGAGCGCCTAGGACCGCCTATGAGCCGCCTAGCCACCTGGCCGATTTTTTCTGCCGATTTGTACAAATCAGAGGCGCCCGGACACCGCCTAGCACCTAAGCCGATTTTTAGAACAGTGAATGTGAGTGGTTGAAATGCAAATAAATGTGTGGTTAAGATTTGAGTTAATAATACTTTTAATTATGTTGTCAAATAATTTTGTAAACTACAATTGTACATGTAGCATTTGTTAGGACCAAGAACTCAAAATTTAATTCTTCATTAAGCCCAACATACAAGCCCAAATGAGATTCCATTCGAAAACTAATTGGCAATAGAAGGAGTAGCCTACCAAACTTATATATTGAATTTGGAACATTTAGTATTTCTATGTGGAATTGGGTTTGCACGCTCTACAAACCTCCCCTCAAACATAAGGCCACATTGGGCCTCATTTGAACGAAATTCATACGATCCGACCATCTTATACCGCCGTTATCACCCACGTAACCCACCGTCTGACCACCCTTTCGCCAGGACGACTTCGACACAAGGCACACGGATCCACCAGCCGTCCATCGGCTCCCATCTTGTACCACCGTTATCACCCACG